TGAGTGAGTGTTGCACACACCTGTTGAGTGAGTGTTGCACACACCTGTTGAGTGAGTGTTGCACACACCTGTTGAGTGAGTGTTGCACACACCTGTTGAGTGAGTGTTGCACACACCTGTTGCACACTCCTGGAGGCGCCCGTGGCTGCCTCGCGGCACCAGTTGCAGTACTGTCCTTGCCGCCTCCACCTCCCCCCCCCCACCCCGGGAATACACCAAATACATCCATTATACAACAGCCAACCGAAGTTGTATAAAAGGAGCTAAACTAAGCTGTATAAGTCACTCAAAATGATGTTGAACACTCGGCACCTGAGGACCTGGAGCTGCTTAGAGCAGCCGGGCAGCACGGCTGGCCGCCCCGCTGACCTGAAAACACATTCAAATTCTAAATCTAATTGTCCACGTCGGCCTCTAATGTCGTGGGGTCTTCGGAAGGTCTTCGGAAGGTCTTCGGAAGGTCTTCGGAAGATCTTCGTGGATCTTTAGACATATTGGGGGAGGAAGGGGGGGGGGGGTGTGGAAGGTTAGTACAGGACGTCTAAAAATATCTAAACGATAGCCGGGGGGGGGGGGAGGGGAGGGGGGAGTGGGGGGAGGGGATGGGGGGAGTGGGGGGAGTGGGGGGAGGGGAGGGGGGAGTGGGGGGAGGGGATGAAGGGAGTGGGGGGGGGGGGAGGGGGGAGGGGGGGGGGAGTGGCGTTCAAACTGAACAGTCGACCCTGTTACAGTGAACGTGAGATGCTGGACGGGTTCCCGCAGCATCTTGAGGTTCATCTCCCTTATCTCCGGGGAGTATGGGTAGAAACGGATCCCTGTATTCGAAACGTCGCCACTTTGTCGAGGGAAGAGTGGGGAGGGGAGGGGGTTGAGCTTCGGCTCTCCGATCCCGCCTCTCCCGGCGTGATAGTGGGTGTCGTTATGGGGTCATTCACAGTTTCTGAGACCATCCATTGGTTCATGCTTGAAGTAAACTGTCTTGCTGCAGCTTGAAGTAAACTGTCTTGCAGCAGCTTGAAGTAAACTGTCTTGCTGCAGCTTGAAGTAAACTGTCTTGCTGCAGCTTGAAGTAAACTGTCTTGCTGCAGCTTGAAGTAAACTGTCTTGCTGCAGCTTGAAGTAAACTGTCTTGCTGCAGCTTGAAGTAAACTGTCTTGCTGCAGCTTGAAGTAAACTGTCTTGCTGCAGCTTGAAGTAAACTGTCTTGCTGCAGCTTGAAGTAAACTGTCTTGCAGCAGCCTGAAGTAAACTGTCTTGCAGCAGCCTGAAGTAAACTGTCTTGCAGCAGCCTGAAGTAAACTGTCTTGCAGCAGCTTGAAGTAAACTGTCTGGCAGCAGCTTGAAGTAAACTGTCTTGCTGCAGCTTGAAGTAAACTGTCTTGCAGCAGCTTGAGGTAAACTGTCTTGTAGCAGCTTGAGGTAAACTGTCTTGCAGCAGCTTGAAGTAAACTGTCTTGCAGCAGCTTGAAGTAAACTGTCTTGATGCAGCTTGAAGTAAACTGTCTTGCAGCAGCTTGAAGTAAACTGTCTTGCAGCAGCTTGAAGTAAACTGTCTTGCAGCAGCTTGAAGTAAACTATCTTGCAGCAGCTTGAAGTAAACTGTCTTGCAGCAGCTTGAAGTAAACTGTCTGGCAGCAGCTTGAAGTAAACTGTCTTGCAGCAGCTTGAAGTAAACTGTCTGGCAGCAGCTTGAAGTAAACTGTCTTGCAGCAGCTTGAAGTAAACTGTCTGGCAGCACCTTGAAGTAAACTGTCTTGCTGCAGCTTGAAGTAAACTGTCTTGCTGCAGCTTGAAGTAAACTGTCTTGCTGCAGCTTGAAGTAAACTGTCTTGCAGCAGCTTGAAGTAAACTGTCTTGATGCAGCCTGAAGTAAACTGTCTTGCTGCAGCTTGAAGTAAACTGTCATGATGCAGCTTGAAGTCAACCTTCCAATAGCCACGTAATCCTTTCAAGTCACGTCCGAGTGATGGCCGGTGGCGCTGGGACGCTCTCCAGCACCCAGTGAGCTCCCTGCCCCGGCTGGGCCCGGGTGTTGATGCCCTGGGTGTTGATCAACTCCCAGGGCATTGTACACTCCAATCAACTGGTGTACAGGGCATCCTGGAGGTGGATGCCCTGTACTGGAGGTGGATGCCATTATCCATCTGTCCTTATCCAACTGTTGATTGACAGTTGAGAAGCGGGACCAAAGAGCCAGAGCTCAACCGCAAGCACAACTACTTGAGTACACTTCATATATCACAGCCTGGCCCATCATGTGGCGCAGAGATCACTGGTGTTGAGTTACTCTCCAGTATGTGACTAACCTTCTACACTTGGTCCTCAAGATTGGTCTGTGGACCACTACCACCACCCACAGGGTGGATGTGGGTGTACCACCACCACCACCCACAGGATGGATGTGGGTGTACCACCACCACCACCCACAGGATGGATGTGGGTGTACCACCACCACCACCCACAGGGTGGATGTGGGTGTACCACCACCACCACCCACAGGATGGATGTGGGTGTACCACCACCACCACCCACAGGATGGATGTGGGTGTACCACCACCACCACCCACAGGGTGGATGTGGGTGTACCACCACCACCACCCACAGGATGGATGTGGGTGTACCACCACCACCACCCACAGGGTGGATGTGGGTGTACCACCACCACCACCCACAGGATGGATGCGGGTGTACCACCACCACCACCCACAGGATGGATGTGGGTGTACCACCACCACCCACAGGATGGATGTGGGTGTACCACCACCACCACCCACAGGATGGATGTGGGTGTACCACCACCACCACCCACAGATTGAGTTGTGAATCCATTAATCCCACCCAACACTGCCTCTGGTGGTGGGCAGCACACGCGAGGCACCACCACGATTGGCCAACCACAGCTGTCGTTATGACATCACCCCCCCCCCCTAAATGCCCCCCCACCCGTGTGGGGGGGGGCGTGTGGGGGGCGTGGGTGGGGCTTGGCCTCCCCTCACAGCCAGTCCTCCTAAGGTTTCACAACGTCAAGAAAACGGTCAATTTAAAGTGTCCTTATCCTAACCTACCAGAGGACCCAAAACAGAAAACGGGACAGGCTGTGCCAGCCACTTCCATTTTCTAGTACAATTTGTTTACCCCATGTAACGCATACGAGCGAAAAACAACGTTCTTTGTGGGGCAGGTTGCCCCCCCCCCCCCACGCTGTACTTTAACGACTCATATGCAAGATATTCCTTTGGAAGGGAGAGAGAGAGGGGGGGGGGGGTTACGAGAGACGTACAAAATCGGAATAGAGCAGCCATGTCAACTTTTTTTTTATTTTTTTATTTTTTGCAGGGACCATGTTAACGACGTGCAAGATACTAAGGACGATGGAACAATCGGACAATCCTTTCTAATTTCACTAGAAAAGTGAATCCTTTCGTAGTTTCATATATATATATATATATATATATATATATATATATATATATATATATATATATATATATATATATATATATATATATATGTCGTACCTAGTAGCCAGAACTCACTTTTGGCCTACTATTCGAGGCCCGATTTGCCTAATAAGCCAAGTTTTCCCGAATTAATATATTTTTTCTATTTTTTTCTTATGAAATGATAAAGCTACCCATTTCGTTATGTATGAGGTCAATTTTTTTTTATTGGAGTTAAAATTAACGTAGATATATGACCGAACCTAACCAACCCTACCTAACCTAACCTAACCTATCTTTATAGGTTAGGTTTGGTTAGGTAGCTGAAAAAGTTAGGTTAGGTTAGGTAGGTTAGGTAGTCGAAAAACATAATACATATATATTAATTCATGAAAACTTGGCTTATTAGGCAAATTGGGCCTTGCATAGTAGGCTGAGAAGTGCGTTCTGGCTATTAGGTACGACATATATATATATATATATATATATATATATATATATATATATATATATATATATATATATATATATATATATATATATATATATATATATATATATATATATATATATATATATATATATATATATATATATATATATATATATATATATATATATATATATATATATATATATATATATATTATATATATAATATATATATATATATATATATATATATATATATATATATCTATCTTGGAACCCGCCTTTCCACATGCCAATTGTCTAATGGACTTTATCGCGGCCTATGTAGGGGACCATCTCTTTAAATCATTAATGGAAACCACTCCTACATTTCTTCCCAACACCTATTAGCCATCTGGCTAATTTGTGTATTACCGGTATTTAGCATAATAAATTCCCATGAACTTATGCAAGTGCACGTTAAATACACACTCGAAGTCAAACTGCTGACCAAAGCAATCATTAATCATATATACAAATACAACCAATTTGTATATTCTAGTTAATGTCTGGTGACAGACAAACGTTAGAAACGTGTACCTGTGTGTAATTCCTATTATTCCTTCCTTCCTATGTGTATGCATACACTACCATATACAAATGCATACATGTTACACATGTTATATATGTGTAACATATGTACATGCAGGGTCACCAAAACCTCATAGTACTTGCATTAATAAGTGTAAACAAAGCCATGATTGAGTAAAGATGTAAAAGTTTCTATCAAGTGGTTGAATAAACATTTGAAAATGTTAACACAGTGATGTAAGCATACCATTATAAACAAGCAACATGATAAATATAACATTCAATATAGTTTAGAAAATTTTAAAAATTATATAGTTTAAAATTTTATAGTTTTTAATCCCTAGAAAAATTAGGGCATATTCGCCAAGAATTATACAGATTATCCCCAACTATCCCCAGAGAATGTATGAAACTCCGCATGTGAATATAAATGTATGAACATGTATATAATATACTGTAAAAAAAAACATGTAAATATACTGTAAAAAAAAAATGTAAATAAATATACTGTTGTGTGTACATTTTAGTTATGAAATAAAAGGATTAAATAACAAGACATATATTTAAATTCCATGTATTGTCGATAAATGGTACAACTTTAGAGGTTTCCACAAGACACTGATTTTTTTGTACCCAAACACAAGGACTAGAGAGGGAAACATTTTTATTTTATTTTTTTTGTTACAAATATAAGGCTGTTCCCCGTAAATCTTTACATGGTACATTCAAGAGTGAACATTTTGTCTACTAAAGGAGATGAAAAAAATAATAAAAAAATAAAGGAAAAAACTCTAGTAATTTTACGATATAAAATGATAAAAACCATTAAAAAATTACATTACAATGTCATTTTTGGAATGACATTACAAAAGAATGAGCTTATGGTACAAAAGTTATCTATAACCCATGATATGTATGGAATGGTCGGCGTTTTGAGATCGGCAAACAAGGGACACTAAACCCAAAATTGGCAACTGCAGCAGGGTACTTTTAATTCAGGAATGCCTCTGAACTCTGAGTGTTTCAAAAAAATTATATATATACTGTATATATATAAAAAAAATGGGTCACCCTAAAAAGTTTGCATTCACGCATAAAAACACATTTATGTTCTTTCGGATGATATTCAGTATAAACCGATTTACATGCACTTTTTTTTCTCTACAGTCACACTTTATAAAGCTGGAAAGTAGAACTACATAAAAGATCCAGTAAATATAATTTATAAAAAGGAAAACAACGTTTTGTACATTCTAGAAATACAAAAATATGTGAAACTCTCAAAATTCAACTTTTCAGCTTAATGGCAAGCACACGCAAGCCTATGGACAGGCAATCTTACATTTGGATCATACCTATTATCACAGTATCACGATCCCCACTTCTCTTTTCTCGGAAAAGGTGATTTTCACTAAAAGGAGATACACAAGGCTTTATGATGAATGGGAAGTTTTTTTTTTTTTGGTTTTTTGGTTTTCTCTTTTTTGTGCAAGCCCTCGATAGGCTCTTGTATCCGTCACCGACCAAATTAAGTGGGTAAAGACTGGCCATAACGACTGAGGAAAGAAATAAAATGTCGGTGATCACGTAATTGATCAGATCAAACAAATTATGGGAAATAAGGACAGCAGAACAAAAAAAATCAACAAAATTCTGCCCAGACATGGCACACACCGCCGGATCCCTTAACATCTTGGACAAGTATTTACAAGTTGATAAATTATCCCTTTGGTATTCTTAAGCAAACACCTGACTGATGAAGACCAGGTCTGGACAAAAGTCTCCTGTACACAACAACAAAATAAACACATATTGCACACGCACACTTTAGGAAATAGCGACATTTGTATAATACAAAACCTACACACCCGACAGTCATCATAACCCGAGTCTCTTGAGACCTGGACGAGGGAGTGCGCTGCGCCCCCTCGACTGCTTATTTTCTGCTGCCCAGGATTTAGACTTGCCTCTGAAGAGTTTCAGATCCTCAGCAAAGTTAGCATCCAGCATTCTCACATAATCGTTAGGTGTGCACAATTCTGGGTACTTTTCAAAGAATGCTTTATAGCCACCCTCCAAAAGGTATGTCTCGGGAAAGTGGAGAGCCGGGTAGTGTTCCTTATTTGCAGTGCGATCCATCTCCCTGAGCAACCTCTGAGCTTTAGGACCACGCTCAGCAGAATATTCGCAGTGAAAGATTAAAATTTGCCGGGGGTTATCCTCACTCATTATAACAGGGGCGCCCGTCTGCGCATTTAATTGATCCTCCACCATTTTTGGGTGGTGCCACATTTCGGCCCCATTAATGTGACCACCCTCGAACTCGTAGGGGTATCTGCAGTCTATTATTCGGCAAGTGGCAAGTTTACTGCTGAACTTGCCTCGCACAACATCGGCCAGAGTATCAACAGAAATGGACTTCAGATCTGGATGTTTGCCACCTTCAACAGTAGGAAGCAAACCAACCTTGGAGAAGTCGCCAATGAGATTTCCATCATGACCAGCTGGAACAAAACACGAACATTAATACAAAATTACAGAGGTACATAACTACTTATTCAATATTATTCAAGTATTCTGCAAAAATCCAAAATGAAAAAAATCATGACAAACTAAAACTAACACTACAGGGAATTCTTGCAACATATGCAAATGAATGAATTTACACAAGTTTTACTAGAAAAATATCTAATACACAACTCTTGCATATGACTTACCGCTTTTATTCAGGGCTCTCATGATGGACACATGACTCTCAGAGTGGCTCCGTTGAAACTTAGGTTTGACACATTGAGCAGTACTTGCTTCAGGTGCAGATACTTGTCTCTGTGTAAGAGGAACACGAATTTTTTCACCGGTTGTAGTCGAGGCATTTGACGTCAGAGGACAGAGCTGGTCACTTGTTTCATCTAGCTTTCGTCGCTTGCACTCTGTTAAGTTGGAGAGGTCAGTAGGAGGCTGAGGCCGCTTGAACGAAACAGTGCTGCTGACCTCTGGTGGTGGTGGTTTGGGGATAATGCTCTCCACCTGAAAATATAAATAAAACAATGTTGTACTGTTACTACAAATTGATAAACCACCATCCTAATGTTTAAATATCCTCCAAAACCTTATCTCCTATCCCCTGAAACTATCACTCCCATCCCCAAAAACATCAAAACTTGCTTTTAAATATAATTTACAGCAGGCCTAAGTCTAACAAGAACATTTTATACCAAAATTCTTTTTATACAAAATTAACACCTGTCTAGTGGCTGGACTCACCCTGGAAGATGTAGGTGTCGTGTCCACCATTGAGAGACATCGCCTGATGGATGGACGGCCATCATTGATTGAACGACACACTGAATATGAAGATACAGGGGTTGGAGGCTGAATGGGTTCCGACAGGAGTTTAGAGAACCCAACGGGTTCTTCCTCTTGTGTGGTCATTTCATTCATAAGGTCCATAAGCATAGTGTCTTCCTCCTCTGGCTTGGAGAGCGAAGAGAATTTTCTAAACGGCTTGCGTTCCTCGTTTACGCTGGATGAAGAGCACACAGGTGTAGAAGTTGCTGCAGAAAACACAGTAGTGAGGGAGGAAGTTGCCGAGACCACAGTAACTGGCTTTACAGGGGAGAGTGCCAGGCGAGGTTTGGGAGGAGACAAGTCCAGATTAAGTTTCCGTGGAGCGCAGCTGACCGGCACACTGAAACTATTCACACACACAATTAATACAAAGAAAACTGATGGCATATTGTAATAATAATCAACTGAAGTGTAATAAAAATTAAATTACCTTTTTTATATTAATAAAAGTAATAAAAATTTAACAAATATTAGAAGTTTGTTGTTGTATTTAAAATAGTTATATTGTCATGTACCAATATTTTAAATGCAGGTGTTATTTATATATATACAGTATGCAAAACCACATCAAAAATTTGAGAGGATAAAATTAGTTATCCTTTAAAATTATAACTGGCTATTCTGCATTACTGGATCAACGTTTTTTTTATTCTTATTGCACACATATTATATAAATAACACACATACAAATATATACAGTATACAAAACACCAGTATATAAATAACTGCTTTACAGACCAGTTGCTTTTAAATTGTCATAGTACACAAACAGTGTCGCAACGGAGTCTGTTTTTGTATACACAGTACATATAACTATTTACAATACATAAACCATAACATTCAAGTCGACTGCAATCAAACAACGGTACTTACCAGTCATCCAGTTTTTTGCCGCTCTCGGAGTATCCGCTATCTTGGGAGTTTGTGTCAAAATCATCAGGTGGAGATGGCTTGTGTGGGGAAGTAAATAGTCTCTTGGAGGGTGACACCAACTGTAGATTCTGACAGGAAAAAAAAAGTTAGCCTACAAATATATGCAGTTTTTATATTCCCTCAACATATAGTACTTATTTAAGAAGTGCTGTATTTTCAAATCATAAAAGAACGGGGAGAAAAGGAGGAAACCCCACCTCCATTTAAAACGGATTCAAATATCACAGTAACAAGGTTATCGTGAATAACCGAACTCAATTAGGGGCTCACTATAGACCGTGCTAAATGGACATTTCATTCAGAGTAGCTAAATCTAAAACACGTCAAAAGCATTCAGAGGCATTTCAACAAAGCTCTTTTTCCACTTGGTCAAAACCGTACATATGATTAAGACAGGTTTAAGCCTATGTTAAACTGTGTTAGGTTCGGTTAGGTAATTTAAGGTCATGTAGGTTTGAAAAAGGTGGCTGTGAGTCGCCTAGTACACAATGCTACTTGAATCCATAGAAGATACAGTATTACTAAACTAAACAGTATATTAACCTTCTTAAGAGGGCTAAAGTTGAGATTTCTGTTGACTGTGTTCTGTACATCTTGGAGAGGGCTGGCACGGGGCCGAGGCGGAATAATAGCAGTGCGGGACGGAGAATAGTACGGTGAGGGAAAGTTCTCTTTGTCACGGGAAGAGTGCCGATGAGACGGGGAGATCGGAGACTCTTCACACTGGCTTGATCCAGACTCTGGACTATGACTTTCTTGCAACAAACCTGAAACATTAAATTAATATTAATTAATCTGATCAACAAATCTGACGAGACTTAAAGACGATATCCTTATTACCAAAGACATGAGGCCATAACAAATAGCAAAGACAAAAGAAAACTCGCAGCAAGAGAAGAGTAAATGAAGATTTGGCTAGAAACTCTTCTTTGGTTGGCTTGTTTAACCTCATGTAAAATGCCAATAGCAATGAAATTTTACATGATACAAGTTGCTGAAGTACAATATTTTCAATGACATTTTATATTAAATATGCAACCTTTTGTATTTTTCCTAGCAAAGTCTAGTTTCAGTTGATTTAGTTCTGTTTTTGTGCAATTATTTTTAATAATTATAAACCCAATACTGTTTTACCACTTCCCTTGCACACAAAGTACGGGGGCCATCACTAGAAGACTTAACAAGTTCTCTTTAAATTGATAAAAACACCTGTGAAGGACACCTGATCAACCAGGCTGCAAGAAACCAACAGCCTGGTTGACCATACCACCTGTAGGTGGCCTGATCAGAGATCAATTGGGCTGTGTGGGGGACACAGACACCTAGAACCAACAACAGATAGAAAACAGGTACGATAGAATGCATCAAAACAGGAAAACGTAAAATTGGATATATGAAAAATTGGATATGAAAAAACAAAAATGAGACCACTGGACCAACCCTAACATGAATGAATTAACCATGCCAAAACCAATACAAAAAAAAATCTCATTTAATAAACCACACAACTGCTAGCAAAAAATGCATTTATCAAAGACAAAAACAAACATATATAACACCACAAAGATGTACAAACATTATTGCAAACCTTTCAATGCTAGGCTTGAAGAACCAGCTTGAAGGAAAAGATATGGGGACAGTTACCAGCAACAGCTGGAGTGTTACGTACCAAGCAACACTTGGTACTTTTTGATGTAATGGTCCCAAGAACAAGCTAGGGTAATAGCTCCCAATAAATGCAGTATATGTAAATAGGCATTAGGTGACAGGAAATGCACACAAACATTTGTCCCATCTGGGATTCAAACCCAGAATTCCCAGCGAGAACTTAAGCTAAACCTTGTTTTGTAAACAAGGGGACACTCTCCCACCCTTAAGAGTATTTATATGTATTATTTCCATGAGAAAACAATATGCAGTAGAAAGGCGATGAGGAAACTTACGTCCACAATTTTGCAGTCACTAAGAGGAATTTTGGTACCCAGCAACATCAGCACCACAAGAGGAATTTTGGCACCCAAATACAGCATAACCCATAAGGAATCTTGGCTACAATATCTTATGCCAGCAATACCACAACTTGAGAGGAATCTTGGTACCCAGTAACAGGAGAAATCTTGGTACCCAGCAACACCACAACCCAAGAACCTTGGCACCCAAAGACAACATAATGGAAGAAGCTTAGGAATAATGTGATTATGAACTTACTTGAGCAAAGCAGAGAAAGATCTTGGCAGGACTGCGGCGTATCAGTCATAGTCGAGGAGAGGGAGAGTTTCCTGCGGGGAGTCTGAGTGAGGGAGGCACCATGATGTAGAGTCAGTGCCAGACTCGACATGGGCGAGAGGTCGCTGGACAACTGCGGACTCTCGCACTGGCTGCCCCGCAGCACGCTCCGGTACAAGAGGTCACGGCCACTCATCATTTCCTCTAGTTCTTCAAGCTGCGGGAGAAAATATGCCTCTTTAATCACGGTAATTATAAATGGTGAAAATGCTACGCTGGTACGACTGTATGATGATATGAATGGGATGTGAGGACAAGGAGCCAGGATAGGACTGGAGGAAGGAACAGTGCCCAATCACTTTTGACTTATCAGGAATTGAAAGCCATAGATTGACTCAGTCCCAACCAAAGTGCATGGATCCTTTTTGACATGCAAAAATCTAAATTTGCTCTTTATTACTTTACATAGTTTACAACATAGTTATTTTAATTTACATTCAAAGGAGTGTAAACGTCACACCTTTATGCAACAATGGAGATGCAGTAACAGTACAAAGTATCTTAGATCATCTACTAGTAAAATGAGGCATCTTAAAACATTTACTGTGGAACATAACTTTACATTTAATATACATGCACACATGTGACACCAAAACAAGTGCTCACCTAAAGTAAAAGCAATTCCACATTGCAATTCCAATTTGCAATCAACTTGCAATTAATATAAAAATTATATAACCGATAAGGATATAATATTGTAGGTTGATATTAACACTTAAGGGAGGGGGGGAATATTGTCAAATAATTCCTCACTTAAGGGGGAGGAATTAGTGTCGTAAATACAACATAGGGAACAAGGAAGGGAAATAGGGGGGAAGAGGGAAAAGGAATCACAAGGAAACGGGGAGTGAGGGAATTATCAGGGGGAAAGCGCCAAGCCATTACGACTATGTAGCACTGGGAAGGGATAAAGATTTGGGATGGGACGGAGGAGAGGCAAGGAATGATGCCCAACCACTTGGACGATCGGGGATAGAACGACGACCTGCATGAAGCGAGTCCGTCGCTCTACCGTCCAGCCCAAGTGGTTGGATAAACTGAGTGAGCAATAGCGAACTAATCGATCGAAATTCGATCCAATTTATACACAGAAATCACACTACGCATCGAATGAAGATTAAGGCAGCGTCTGGGATGCTCTCAAACGCAGGTTCGAATCCTCGTCACTTGCGGCCCTTGTGGATTGATTGATGAAGATTAAGCCACCCAAAAGGTGGCACGGGCATGAATAGCCCGTAAGTGGTGGCCCCTTTTGAGCCATCACCAGTATCAATAGATGATACTGGAGATCTGTAGAGGTGCGACTACACCCTGCGTGACGGGAGATGTCTCCCCCGTGCCCTTGTGGATCTGTGCCATCCAATTTATATCTATTGTTTCGTGGTCTATTATGTGCCGACATCTTATACCCTATAAATATCCCCCTTTATGTTGTACATACAACACTTAAGGGAGAGGAATCAATCGTAAATACAATAGGGTACCCACTTAAGGGAGAGGAACACCACCCTAGACAACACAAAACCCTCCCTACAACACAATGCTCACAACACTACACTTACAAGCAAACAAATGTTGTAGATTGTAGAGCAGGTCACCACAATCACCGCGTGTGTGTGGGGTCAATATTATCAGGTCAACACTCTTCCTTAGCCTCAGCCCTTCAGACAGCCCTCTACCACACCAGTCCAAGCCTCAAGCGCGGCCAATCATGAGCCTTAAAGCCACACACCTGACCTGCACTAGTGCCTGCCGTCTGGGGGCAACAAGTACACTAAGCCACATTTGTTTACACTCCCAACTGTGACCTCTTAAGCACTCTTTCAAATTCACTTTTGTTTGGGTCGCGGCACTTTCAGAGTCTTGAACACTTGCGCGATGGTTAAATCCTCAAGTGGTTGATAGTGTTTTTTTTAGAATAGAGATGTCGGGAGGGTGTATATATATTAAGATGTATAGATATATATATATATATAGAGGAGAGATGTTGCACACGTCCTCCCGACACGCCAGACGGCCACCGACTGAGGTCCCCGACGCTGTCTGCCGCGCTCTCACCCGGCAACCATTTTGGGAACGAGATGCAAGACTCCGTTCCTTCCCCTCACGACGATTACGGCGCACTTGAGGCCCTCTAAGCTGCTCTCGGGGCGAGCTATCACCACCTTCCTTACGCCCAATGTAAATTGGTCACCGTTAAATCCTTTTAAGTTGAAATTATTGATGAAAGCGTTTTGCTGCGAGATTAGCATCGTCTGCCAGCTCGACTGCGTTCTAGCGTGTAGAGTTACGATAACCGAGTTGCCAGACGGTCAATTACCAACACACATTAGCGCTCACAACCTGCACCTACCTCCATTAGAGTATCCATCGATGGTGAATACATCTTCTATTCACAAGATGCTGTATTCAGAAGCTGGAGACGGCAAGAGACGAGAGCACTTATTACAGGCAATTATTTGTGATCAATGCGTCCAAACCGTGGCCTGCAGGATGTAAATACTGGCGGGGAGGAGTGAGGAGAAGGAGGGAGGGGGTGGTGGGGCCAGTCCTGCCCTCAGCTGATTGGCCGGCCAGTAGGTGGCTGAGGAGGGTGGGGGGAGGTTATACTGTTCCTTCAGCCTCTTTACTTTACCTGTATTAATTATCACATTCCCCGAGGGACATTGTGACGCTTAACATGGGATGTAAAACACGTAAACGAAGCATGTTTCGTAGCTCGATTAAAAATTTAAACTGCCACTAAAACAATATTTTCAACATCAGGACGAAATCTGTATAAGAACAATATCTACCTAACCATAAATATAAATATTATAAAAATAAACATTTTGAAAAACGTATTAATGAAAATACTTCATATTATCTTTTATACTGCATAATATTGTATAACAGTTTTGACTATTTGTTTCTAATTTGAGGGATTAAATTTGTCATCCTCGTTGTTGTCAAGAGCAAGATATAGCTGAAGAACAACACCAGGTGTCTTATTAGTAACATAAGAACAAAGGTAACTGCAGAAGGCCTATTGGCCCATAGGAGGTAGCTCCTATCTATAACCACCCAATCCCACTCATATACATGTCCAACAATCAAAACGATTCGATTATTAAATCCTAGTGTCCTATTTCGTACAATTATGAACCAATTTTTGTGTTTAAATTCTTACTAATCTTCACCTACAGATCCTTTTCGCAGTCAGACTTTGCAATCTCAACGCCATCCAGCTGATATATTTTAAATTAAGCTTACACATATACACAAGCTTATGCGTGTAAACATTAAGCTGTGTCTGCTGATATTTACCACCTCAAGGCCTTAACAAGTGCTGCTCATGTTTGACACATTTGATATCATTCTATTCCAGCATAATTACAACAACAACAACAATACAATTTTATTTAGGTAAGGTACATACATACAATAAATATTTACAAGGATTGTTTGACTTATAGGTATAGCTAGTACATACAATGCCTAAAGCCACTATTACGCAAAGCGTTTCGGGCATTTGATAGTGCAATTGAGGCAGTTGATAGTGCAAACGCTACACCTTGACTTTAGGAAAGCTTTTGATACAGTGTGTGTGTTATGGCTGACTCATTTTAGTGGTACAAGCTGGTTTAAAACCAAACTGGGAATACCGAAGCAGAAAATTTTTAACAGTTTACGATTATTATCAATTCCCCCAAATCCTCCAAATTAGAAACCTGTCAAATCAAGAAAGATTAACAAAACTTCAATTACATTCTCAAGAAAGGCGAAGAGTTAGGAGTAACATGATACACGTTTACAAGTGGATGAATGGACATAAAGGGGATATTAATGGGGTATTAAATGTATCAACACAAGACAGAACACGAAACAATGGGTATAAATGTGATAAATTTAGATTCAGGAAAGACCTGGGTAAATACTGGTTGGGAACAAGGTTATTGATTTGTGGAACCAATTACCACGTAACGTAGTGGAGGTGGGGTCCCTCGAGTGTTTCAAACGAGGGTTGGACATGTATATGAGTGGGATTGGGTGGTTATAAATAGGAGCTGCCTCGTATGGGCCAATAGGCCTTCAGCAGTTACATTGATTAATATAAGAACATAAGAACAAAGGCAACTGCAGAAGGCCTGTTGTCCCATACGAGGCAGCTCCTATTTATAACCACCCAATCCCACTCATATACATGTCCAACCCATGCTTGAAACAATCGAGGGACCCCACCTCCACAATGTTACGCGGCAATTGGTTCCACAAATCAACATCCCAGTTACTGAACCAGTATTTACCCAAGTCTTTCCTAAATCTAAACTTATCCAATTTATACCCATTGTAATACCCAATTTATACCCATATGTTATTATATAACTGCAGAAGGCCTCTTGGCCCATACGAGGCAGCTCCTATTTATATCCACACAATCCCACTCATGCATGTCTAACCTACGCTTGAAACAATCAAAGGACCCTACTTCTATAATGCTTCCTTAATTACTTGACCAATAAATTAAAGGTACCAAAGCGGAATAATATTTTGGACTTTGTTAACTAACACGGAGACAAATTTAAAGACAAGAAAATAGGGAATGAGTTATAGGGAACAAGGATCACAAGAAAATAGGGAACAAGGATCACAAGAAAATAGGGAATGAGTTATAGGGAACAAGGATAACAAGGAAATAGGGAATGAGTTATAGGGAACAAGGATAACAAGTTAATAGTGAATGAGTTATAGGGAACAAGGATAACAAGTTAATAGTGAATGAGTTATAGGGAACAAGGATAACAAGAAAATAGGGAATGAGTTATAGGGAACAAGGATAACAAGGAAATAGGGAGTGAGCTCGAGGGAACTAATCGATCAATTGTTTCAAGTTGAAACAATTCGTTGAAACTAATTGTTTCAAGCGTGGGTTGGACAAGTATATGAGTGGGATTGGGTGGTTATAAATAGGAGCTGCCTCGTATGGGCCAATAGGCCTTCTGCAGTTGCCTTTGTTCTTATGTTCTTATCAAAACAATCCAATTTATATCCATTGTTCTCTTATGTGTTGACATACGTAATACCTTATAAATATCCCCTTTATTGTGTCCAGTTATGTCACCCCTAACTCCGCCTTGTTAGAGAATGTACACACACAAAACCCCAAACATTCATGCATTGATCTTCTGGTTTTAAAAATTCTTACTAATCATAACTCCCAGATCCCTTTCGCAATCCGACTTCGCAATCTCAACACCATCTACTCAGAATGTTTGGTAACAGGTTTATTGTTTGTGATGTGTGTCTATGTATGTACTAACACGTTGTACTGAACGGGGTGAGAATAGCTTGGGCTACCTCATCCCTTTGTGTGTGTTTTACCTCAATAAACTTATTTCAATTTCAATTTCAAAACACCATCTAGCTCGTATCTTGTAACTCTTATCATCATTACCTAGCCTCAGAACCTTACATTTGGCCCATACGAGACGGCTCCCATTTTTATCCACCATAATAACAAAGGTAACTGCAGAAGGCCTATTGGCCCATGCGAGGCAGCTCCTATCTATAACCACCCAATCCCACTCATATGCATGTCCAACCCGCGCTTGAAACAATTTAGGGACCCCACCTCCACCACGTTACACGGTAATTGATTCCACAAAACAACCAAACCAGTATTTACCCAAGTCTTTCCTAAATCTAAATTTATCCAATTTATACCCATTGTTTCGTGTTCTGTCTTGTGTTGATACTTTTAATACCCTATTAATATCCTCCTTTGTTGTGTCCATTCCTCCACATATAGCACCCCCAATACCATGAGCCTCTATTTTTTTAATCAGTCTTTCATGTGGCACTGTATCAAAACTTATTATACGTCTCATACATACGTCTAACTTACGATTCACACTTATTATATTGGATAAAATATTGATTTTAGATTATTATTCTTATTTTACTGGTCTGTTGTCCCTTATCTAATTTTTGTGCGATATAACTGGAGAAAACATTTTAGGATTTGTCTTTGATAACATTTAGGAGCGTCCTGCAGGGGCCAGTTGATCTCCTGCAGTTTATTGGTAAATATTTTCTGTGTGAATGTTAATTGAATAAAACTTAACACGGGACGTTGCACAAGTCCGCGGGGACGTAGCACAAGTCCGCGGGGACGTAGCACAAGTCCAGCAGTGGGCGATCCGAGACTTACCTCACGTGTAGAACAAGTTTCTATTCTCGCAGAAGCCTCCGCTGAAGGCCCCAGACAGCAGCGGCCTTAGAGAATCACGTGAAACATGGTTCCAGCCGGTTGTTTGACGACCTGGTCCAACCAGTCTGTCGTAGTTGGCTTTTAGTCACGGCCGGGTACAGGCACTTTCCAAAATTTGCTTCGAATTCATATCGAGAACACTGTCACTGTCACTTCTGTAAGGCCTTGCTGTCTACTCGGTAGACACAGCTTGGAGCCCTAGAGCTGAAGCCTATTTGATAAGGCCCCTTCCACAAGGCCCCCTGGTCGTGGACCCACTGTTTAGGGTCAGTAGTGGGTGTGTGCCAGTATGTTATTTCTCAGGGCCCAATGTGTTTGAAAGGTCTACTGTAGATAAATTTCCATAAATCTACCTCAATATCATGGAAAGCACTATTTTTTATCTTGCCAATCTACTTGAATCTGTCTTTTTTTTTCTTAAACACAGATCAAAACCAAATTAAACTGATTTAAAAGTCGATTTGGGTTTTAGAAGTACATTGTAGCGTGATTCAAACAGTCAATAGATGAGTAGTTACCATTCACAATATTCAGAGGTAACACAACGCACGCTTACACACGCGAGGGAGCACCACGCACTCTCACACACTCAAGAGTTCACACTGACAAAACAGAGGAGCTCGTGAGAGCAAGTGTGAGGCAACAGTGGTTCTATACTCGTGGAACCTCTAAATATATTTTTTTGTCACAATCCGGCGGCTTTGTTTACATTTAGAAAAACAGTTTACAAGTATCGCAACTTGTCAAACAAATGTTTTTACGGTAATAAACAGCCTCCTGGTGCTTGGGAGCGCATAAACTGTTTATTATATGTGAACAAAGCCGCTAAAGATTGAGACAAGAGGTCGAGGGGTTCGTAAGTGCTTGCTTGGTGAATCCGGCTCCCGCCTACTGTCAATGTGATGTTTTGACGGTGGGAGTTGCCAGCTTGTAGTTCAGTCATGATAACTCGGCCACCAGTCACCAGATGGCAGTGTGATAACTCGGCCACCAGTCACCAGATGGCAGTGTGATAACTCGGCCACCAGTCACCAGATGGCAGTGTGATAACTCGGCCACCAGTCACCAGATGGCAGTGTGATAACTCGGCCACCAGTCACCAGATGGCAGTGTGATAACTCGGCCACCAGTCACCAGATGGCAGTGTGATAACTCGGCCACCAGTCACCAGATGGCAGTGTGATAACTCGGCCACCAGTCACCAGATGGCAGTGTGATAACTCGGCCACCAGTCACCAGATGGCAGTGTGATAACTCGGCCACCAGTCACCAGATGGCAGTGTGATAACTCGGCCACCAGTCACCAGATGGCAGTGTGATAACTCGGCCACCAGTCACCAGATGGCAGTGTGATAACTCGGCCACCAGTCGCCAGATGGCAGTGTGATAACTCGGCCACCAGTCACCAGATGGCAGTGTGATAACTCGGCCACCAGTCACCAGATGGCAGTGTGATAACTCGGCCACCAGTCACCAGATGGCAGTGTGATAACTCGGCCACCAGTCACCAGATGGCAGTGTGATAACTCGGCCACCAGTCACCAGATGGCAGTGTGATAACTCGGCCACCAGTCACCAGATGGCAGTGTGATAACTCGGCCACCAGTCACCAGATGGCAGTGTGATAACTCGGCCACCAGTCACCAGATGGCAGTGTGATAACTCGGCCACCAGTCACCAGATGGCAGTGTGATAACTCGGCCACCAGTCACCAGATGGCAGTGTGATAACTCGGCCACCAGTCACCAGATGGCAGTGTGATAACTCGGCCACCAGTCACCAGATGGCAGTGTGATAACTCGGCCACCAGTCACCAGATGGCAGTGTGATAACTCGGCCACCAGTCACCAGATGGCAGTGTGATAACTCGGCCACCAGTCACCAGATGGCAGTGTGATAACTCGGCCACCAGTCACCAGATTAAGAATGGGAAAGTTATTCTAGAACAGCAATGTCAAATATGAGATACGAGATTAAGGAAGCAGCTGCACAACTGAACACAGGCAGACCTCAGTTTGATAATTATCAGTTTGGTGCGATAAACACCATCAATACATTCGACGAATCTAAATGAATCTAGCTAAATGAATTGTGGGGTTCAGTCCCTGAGCCCATTATGTGCCTCTGTAACCCTTTCCACTACCGCCCACAAGATGGGTATGGGGTGCATAATAAATGAACTAAACTAAACTAAAATACATTCGATATAACAAATACAGTCACTGAGAAGGGTGTCGACGAAATACATGCAGACTTTGTTATGCAAACCCCTTGGGAATCTCCGCCAGCAGACTTTAAGATTATGGTTCTTGAAGAAAAAAAGAACCAGACTAATCCTCGTCTGCTACGTAACATTGCACAGATGCATATAGAAGCATCTGACAGCTTCACTTACTTCACAGATGGATCAGTAGACCAGCAGCGACAAGAAACCGGAGCTGTAGTTACGGCGGGAAATTCTGTAAACAGTTGGAGGCTCTCAAATGGGTGTTCGACTTTACAAACAGAGATGCTAGCCATTCAAAAGGCTTTGGAACATGCTCTTGCTGAACACCGACAACATGTTATCATACATACAGATTCGAGAACTGTCATTGAAACCTTCCAACAAGAACATAACATAAGAACAAAGGCAACTGCAGAAGGCCTATTGGCCCATACGAGGCAGCTCCTATTTATAACCACCCAATCCCACTCATATACATGTCCAACCTGCGCTTGAAACAATAGAGGGACCTCCACCACGTTACGCGGTAATTGGTTCCACAAATCAACAACCCTGTTACCGAACCAGTATTTACCCAAGTCTTTCCTAAATCTAAATTTATCCAATTTATACCCATTGTTTCGTGTTCTGTCTTGTGTTGATACTTTTAATACCCTATTAATATCCCCTTTGTTATGTCCATTCACCCACTTGTAAACCTCTATCATGTCACCCCTAACTCTTCGCCTTTCCAGTGAATGCAATTTAAGCTTTGTTAATCTTTGTTCATATGAAAGATTTCTAATTTGGGGACTTAGTCATCCTACGCTGGACACGTTGAAGTGAATTTATATCCATTCTATAGTATGGCGACCAAAACTGAACTGCATAATCTAAATGGATTATGGTAGAGTTAGGTAGAGTGCCAGAGTCATGGAAGGTAGCTAATGTGGTACCAATTTTTAAGAAAGGAGATAGATCACTTGCGTCAAAGTCAAATCTAAACTTATCCAATTTATACCCATTGTTTCGTGTTCTGTCTTGTGTTGACACTTTTAATACCCTATTAATATCCCCTTTGTTATGTCCATTCATCCACTTGTAAACCTCTAAACTAAACCTCTATCTTTCCTTAAACCTCTTAAGGAAAGTACTTAAGGAAATTCCTGTTTCAATTCTTCCTCCGTGGTCTGACACTGTCACATTTTTCATCACGTGTTAATTTTCGTGTGTGGTCTGGTCAAACTAATTCAGCCACGTTATTGTGACTCGTCGCCTGCATAAATAGAAACTGCCTAGTATGGACCAATAGGCCTGCTGCAGTTACCTTCATTCTTATGTTCTGATACCTGCTGGTTGGTCAGTAAGTTATCCTGGTGGCCTTAATAACCCCCTCCAGAGGCTGCTAGGCCTTAGGCCTACATTGTATTCAGTATAAAATGTATTTGTATGTTAATATTTTGGAGGGTGGGGAACGGATTAATTCAAATCCCTTTATTTCTTATGGGAAAAATCGCTTCGACTTACGATATTTTGAGTTACAATCCGTCTCTGGGAACGGATTAGTAAGTCAAGGCCCCATTGTAATGGGTTTGTTCCCATTTCCAGTTATAACATCATTCATGTTGTTAAGTTTATCAACACCAGCTTTATCTTTAGGCCCAACACCAGGCCCAACAGAACACACCTCATGCAACAGTTAACTGTGATATAGTTAACAGTTAAGAACATAAGAACGCGGCAATTGGTTCCAGAAATCAACTCCCCTGTTACTGAACCAGTATTTACCCAAGTCTTTCGTAAATCGAAACTTATCCAATTTATACCCCATTGTTTCGTTTTCTGTCTTGTATTGATACTTTTAATACCCTATTAATATCCTCTTTGTTATGTCCATTTACCCACTTGTAAACCTCTATCATGTCACCCCCTAACTCTTCGCCTTTCCAGTGAATGCAAGTTAAGTTTTGTTAATCTTGAGTTATCACTGTTGCCGCTGAAGGTTTGTTTATTAACAATCTAATTTGCATAATTTGTTGTTCTTTTGCTAATAATTTAATTGTATAGTATTATAGAATGGATATAAATTCACTTGAACGTGTCCAGCGTAGGATGACTAAGTTAATTCCCCAAATTAGAAATCTTTCATATGAAGAAAGATTAACAAAGCTTAAGCTGCATTCACTGGAAAGGCGAAGAGTTAGGGGTGACATGATAGAGGTTTACAAGTGGGTGTGTGGACATAGCAAAGGGGATATTAATAGGTTATTAAAAGTATCAACACAAGACAGAACACGAAACAATGGGTATAAATTAGATAAGTTTAGATTTAGGAAAGACTTGGGTAAATACTGGTTCGGTAACAGGGTTGTTGATTTGTGGAACCAATTGCCACGTAAAATTGTGGAGGTGGGGTCCCTCGATTGTTTCAAGCGCGGGTTGGACAAGTATATGATTGGGTGGTTATAAATAGGAGCTGCCTCGTATGGGCCAATAGGCCTTCTGCAGTTGCCTTTGTTCTTATGTTCTTATGTAGATATGACAGAGCCCAATAGGCTCAGGCACCTATTCCCCCAGTTGATCGATAGCTGTTGAGAGGCGGGACCAAAGAGCTGAAACTTAACCTTCACAAGTAAAAGCTGGTGAGAACACACCTATAGTATGACTGAGAGAACTGCACCTCATCACGCAGACAATTGAAAAGGACATGATCACGACATATATGATCTTCACCGGAACTGAAGAAAGATGAGTCAGAAAGATGTAAAGATGAACCTCTTGTTGATGATCTTGTCCTCATATCCCAGCTCCTTGTCCTCATATCCCAGCTCCTTGTCCTCATATCCCAGCTCCTTGTCCTCATATCCCAGCTCCTTGTCCTCATATCCCAGCTCCTTGTCCTCATACCCCAGCTCCTTGTTCTCATATCCCAGCTCCTTGTCCTCATACCCCAGCTCCTTGTCCTCATATCCCAGCTCCTTGTCCTCATATCCCAGCTCCTTGTCCTCATACCCCAGCTCCTTGTCCTCATACCCAAGCTCATTGTCCTCATACCCAAGCTCATTGTCCTCATACCCAAGCTCATTGTCCTCATACCCAAGCTCATTGTCCTCATACCCAAGCTCATTGTCCTCATACCCAAGCTCATTGTCCTCATACCCAAGCTCATTGTCCTTATATTCCCCTTTTTAATATAAGCTACCTCATATGGGCCAATAAGAGCGTCCTCATATGGGCCAGTAAGAGCGTCCTCATATGGGCCAGTAAGAGCGTCCTCATATGGGCCAGTAAGAGCGTCCTCATATGGGCCAGTAAGAGCGTCCTCATATGGGCCAGTAAGAGCGTCCTCATATGGGCCAGTAAGAGCGTCCTCATATGGGCCAATAAGAGCGTCCTCATATGGGCC